GGGGGGGGGGGGGGAGGAATGGAAGAAAAAGGAAAAAACAACCCCGAAACTTCTAGCATAAGAGTGTTAGCCAGATTATGATTTTTTTTTTTTCCCCCAGACTGATGGCTGGTATTTCTTTGTCCCACACATTTAGGAGATTTGGTTATACATTCTGATATGTTGTCTGACTAGAATATATGGCAAATTTTAGTTTCTAGAGTCACATTTGGCTGACTTTAAAATAGCAGAAGGATCCTATTATACTATTCTTTGACCCTATTATATTTACGTTACTGGACTCTTTGTGATAGCCTCTAGCTGCTTTCTATCTGTGTCCTCCTTGAGCAAAATATGCTCAACAGTAACTAGAAGCAGGGTGTAGTATTAGAAATCAAGTTCTCATGTGAAATATGTATTTCTGCACAGCATCATGAAAGCAAAAGGTTTATTTAATACTCGTCAATCCCTGAAGACATAGTCCAGCATTAACAAATAATAATAAATAATAATAATACTATAATAATGTGGCAATCCTAGTGTGAAAACGCATATGACCCTTAGGTTTTCCTAAAGATTTTCAGAATTCTCCCCATTAGTACAACTGGTGGTGGACATTGCTGTTGCATTTCCCAGTGAAACGTTTAAAAGACTGTAAATGGTGTGTGCATTACTACATTGCAGAAGGAAGAGGTCAGGCTAAATTGCACTGGTATTTAAACATAATCATACTATGAAAATAAATCAAAACATCACGTAAAAGGAGTATTTTAAATGTTACACACGTTTTCTTTCTGGAATGACACGGCTAAGCTGTACCCTGTGAGCATATATATTTTAACACAAGTTTACAAAAATAAAAGTGTATGATTTTCAACAAATGGGAATAGGTCTACAGCGAAGTATTGAGAATATTATTTTGCTCTTTCTTTCCTAATGAGGTTTATCCTTCGGCCAGACAGTTGTAAGACTGAAATACTACTGGCTATAGAGTGTAGATTGCAGATTGCATGCTACTCAATGTGAAAAGGAGCACATTTGATTGATCGCCTCTGTGTGTGTGTGCGTCCATACACACAACTCTCTGTAGTTGCATGTGTATGTATTTGGCAAAACTGGGCATCTCTGGGCGTCCTTATCTTAAGAAATGTGAGTCAAACATCCATTCCTTTAATCATGTTCATCTTTGATCACCAGCAAGGGTGACACAGTCCACAAAATTAACAAAGAAACTCCCTTGCTTTTGAGAGACAGCTACATGTACATCTGGGTCTGCACACACATGCACATGGACACACGAACATGCAGGCATACATCCCAGTAAGTAAATTACGGCATAACTTTTCATGTAATTGACACCAGACACCTTTAATTTTTCATTTTCATTCTTTTGACCAGCTTTCACATTAACAATCTAAGCCGTAAATGTTGGTGGCTATTGATTGCAATCCCCTGTGTGCGTGCAAATCCATTTTCAAGTCCCCTGCCTTTAATGTGCATGTGCGTGTGCAAGGGGCCTCTGACGGCTGTTTGTCAGGATCTCCCCCAGCCTGTTTGAAGACGACCCCGGATACACAACATGTGCTGATGGCCAAGGGAAAGCACACACACACACACAGACACACACACACAGACACACACACACAGACATGCACACAGACACACACACATGCACACACATACGCACACAAAAAGATCCAAACCAAATGATGGAGAAATAAAGAAACAAAGCTCTCTTGTGTGAGATGCAGAGAAATACATGCAACCGAAAGTGTAAGTATACGGTGGGGATGTGTAGGTTGGGCGCCTGACATTTCCCAAGACTTCTCGTGGGCTTCTCCCTGCCGACATCTGGAGCTGCCTCGACCCCAGTGCTCATGGCCGCACCTTTTGGGAGCCCGAGATTTGCCGAAAAGCCGTCACTAGTTTTGAACATTTGGTAGCGCTGGAATTTTTTAATAAATAAATAAATAAATAAATGACATTTTTTAAATAGTTGCCGAATCCCACTGCCAGGCTATCACCGGCAGTGAGTGGGTGCGGGTCTGTGTGCCCGTGGCTCCCTGCATGTGAACGCACGCGTGGATTTACACGGGAATCCTCCCCACTGAACTACCTGACAAATAAAGGACTTTTCAGCCCATCGGAGTTTTGGGTAATGTCTTCTGAGCAGCTTTCTCGGAGTTTACTGTTCCTTTACTGTCGACTCCATAGCCTTAACCTTAAAGCAGGGGGAGGAGAGCAGTAGGGAGGGGGTGGGGGTGTTCGCAGCATATAAGTACATCAGGAGGAATTTTTAAACGACCTTATTGTCTCTAGCTCTAGAAAGACCGCGATGATTTCTTTTTAGCGCCAGCAGCTGTTTTCTCTTGAAACTTTGCTTTTTTTGCCTCTCACACGAGCGAGCAGGAGAAAGGCAAGGCTGGGGGATCCAGATGCGAGGAGAGGGAAGGAAGGAGAACTCCGCGGATGGTCTGAGCTGTGCCGAGGCATTGTTCACTGCTGCCTCTCGGTTACGTTTAAAGGCTGAAATATCACGAGATCCACTCAATGATCCTTTTCTAATTCGAAGGACAAAATGTAATTTGCTGTAGCTCTGCTTTCTCGGATGGGAATACTATCCCTTGGTTTCAGAGGAAGAACTAGGCATCGCGGTTCGCACACACATGGATTAAGTTGAACAGCGGCGATTACATCTGCACGGAGAGCAACAGTAGTCCAGGGCTGACTTTTCAAATCTCAGCTCTCGGAGTTAGAGGCTCCCTTGAATAGACTTCCTCCATTCCCGGATGCACTTCTCCAAATTCCCACTTCTCTCTCGAATTCCTGTGAAATTGGGGGCTTGCCTGCATTTCGCCTTGGCATGCAAAACGGCGTTTTCACAGAGTGATTATGCGCTTTCTTTTAGCTGTACCTGACGGGGTAACACGAACTCCACGCACCATATTGCCAACACGCGGAGTGGATATTGACGTTCGGGATTGAAGATTTTTTTTTTTTTTTTTTTCCTCTGCCGATTTTTTTGCCAAGTCACAGCAGTATGAGATGTCTCATTAATCTCGCGGATGTGTCTAATTCTGGATGTGCAGTGATACATAAAAGTGCTGGTGTTTGTATCCAGCGGAACACTGGATGCACGGCAGAGATTGGTGATTTTTTTTTTCGCAGCGCCTAACGTGCAAACCGCAAGCATCACTTAAACGTGACAAGGGAGAGGCATGCAGCTATCGCAACATTTGTGAAATCCTCCTTCTTGACACTCGAATAATTTAACGTTCCTAAGAAGAGGTTAAACCTTCATGCTGCTTCTTCAAATTGATTTTAAGGGACTGCTATAAATGGAGCATCAAAAAGCTTCGGCAGGGCTACTCCGAGCGAAATATGCAAACTGCGAGCCAGAAGCATCCTAGCCCGATGCAATATCGTACATTGTGTATTCCAGCACTTTTTTGTTATTACGTAAAGGCTCCTGGAAGCACCTTGGATATTTTACATTCTCCTTTCTCTGCTGGAAGCAATCAGCACACAGGAATCCTGACGTGGGCTCTGGGACTATAGGACATTCCAGCTCGTGATCCAGCACGGTTAATCGCGAAAAGTGTATACATTTCTGGCTTATCTATGCTTTGTTATGGGTCTGACGTGAGCTCACGTCCTCCTCCCCCCTCCTGCAATATTACAGGCAGAATTTCAGTTAAAAGTGTTATAGTATCACGGTGCGAGAACCCGTGATATTCAGACAGCAAAAATAACCTTAGTACCCGGCTATAAAAAGCTAATTAAGCAGAAGAGGAAAATCAAGAGAAACTCGAAAATGTAAGTACTCCCTCTCGTTAACAACCGAACATTTAACTTTGGAGCCTCAGAAGGGGAAATACCAGGCTGTTCTGCACGTTTTCGCTAAGCTTCATTTTCCACACAATGCAGAATAAAACGCTGTTTTAAAGCGGCTACATTACCGAAGGATTTTCCATCGCTACGATCAGACTTATGTCCTTTAAATTCATGGCATGCACAAAAGAACAACGTTTGTCCAAAACAGGCTGAAAATATACGGAACGATAGGGGGAAAAGGCATACAAATCCTTCCTCCGAAGCTAGCGACGAGGAAGTCTGAGAGGGCTGAGTGTGTTTGAGCTTGGATTGTTTAATAGAAAGATTTATATACTAACTGTATTATTTACTTTGGGAGGGGAGGTGGCAGTATAAGGGTATGCTAATTAGTGGGAGATTTTTTGGGGGAAGGGGTGGAATATCAATTTTTATTGCATCACCTGTCAGGAGTGTCCAATCAGCGTTGGCTTTAGGGGAATTAATTGATGAAGGTGTCTCCGGACGAGCTCACTTCACTCTGTCATTTTATTTGTAGCTAAAGCAGCGGCGGGAATAGCAGCTGCATTTCTTTTCTCTTCCTCCCTTCACATTCCATTATCATAGTTTCCAATGGAAAAGCAGGGAATGAAAGGGAACAGGTACTGATCTTCAGCAGCAACTTAGAGAAACACTTTGGCAAACCTGATTTTTAAGATTATATATTGATTGTAGTCTCACGGTATTTTTTAATTTATTTTTTAAAATTTTGTTTAAAGTTTGGCACTTCATTCACCAGGAATAACAGCCTTTGTTATATTTTATTAGCAGGATGCCTTGAGACAAATACAGCATCTGGCTGAGGATTGTGTGTGTGTGGCTTTTTTTTTGCTTTTTTTTTTTGCTTTTTTTTTTTTTTTTTTTCATCTCTCCCTCTCTCTGCAAATGCTGGGAATAATTTAATTCACGAAATGGGAGACCTGAAGTCGGGTTTTGAAGAGGTGGATGGCGTGAGGCTCGGCTACCTCATCATTAAAGGAAAGCAAATGTTTGCACTCTCCCAGGTTTTTACAGACCTGCTCAAAAACATCCCGCGAACTACCGTGCACAAGCGAATGGATCATTTAAAAGTAAAAAAACATCACTGCGACTTGGAGGAGTTGAGGAAACTCAAAGCCATCAACTCCATCGCTTTCCACGCCGCCAAATGCACCCTGATCTCCAGAGAGGACGTGGAAGCCCTATACACATCCTGCAAAACCGAACGGGTTCTTAAAACGAAACGGAGGAAACTAAGCCGGGCGCTGTCTGCCACCGATCTCCGGCCGGAGCTCGCTCCCGCCGACCCCTTCTCCGGCTTCTGGAAGGAGAACAAACTTTGGCTGGGTCTGAGCGACTCTCCTCGGCCGCTGCTGCCTGTCCGGAGGAAAGCTCTGCGCCCGGGGGACACAGCCTTGCTACCGGCCGCTCATCTACCTCACATTTTTAGTAAATACACTGGCCACAGCTACCCAGAAATCGCTCGGGCGCCTTGCAAATCCCCCGTAAACTATGAAACGGCGCCGGCGGTGGGCGGCTGCGTGCC